TGCTCGTGTGCTTTGTTATTTCCTTTCTGTATTTGTGTGTTTGTTCATATACATGAAAAGGTTGGATATTTGTGTCTTCCTTTTTTGTGTTTGTTTACTTGAGTCCTTCTCACTGTGTGTGTCTTTGACTACCACACACCATGCACATATATGGGTGCGTGTCTGGAATACAAAACACGCCGCGATAGTTGGAGAAGAAGTGGAGAGAGCTCCCGTATCCAGGGGCAACGCAGGTAACAGGAGCACGGGCGGCTGTGAATGGAAGGAGACCTTTTTGCTGCGTTTCACGAGCCTCAAGACCTCCTGCGAGATATTTGCGTCGCTAACAGATTTCTGAAAGCACACCGCGTCTTTCTCGTAATAAAGAGATTTAGCTGGATGTCTGATTTGCATAAAGATGAAAGGCGGCAGCGACAACACTGCTTCTAAACAGAATTTCATTCTGGTCACGGATACTAGCAGTTGATTTCACTGATTAGTGTATCCTGCCTGGTTGGAGGTGCACTAATCAGTGTAATCACCTGATGCACTCATAACGGTGCTGTTTGAACCTGCAAATTCTTGGCAAACCATGACACATAACTCCTAAACGAAGAAAAAGCAGTTTGGAATTAGAACATTTCACAGTTACAGAAATGAATTCCACAACACAAAATCTTTCCACCGCAAAGAAGATGACCGTGTGTTGGAGTGTTTAGTTATCTCGCAGGTAAATAGATGAAAATTGTAAACTGAGATCTTTTTTTTTTCTTTGAATATTTGTTTTAAATCACCAACTACTCCTATTTAATAGAACAGCTTATGTGAAGCTAATCTCCACACAAATGTGCATTGAAATAGTAATAAAAAGTTCACTTTAAAACAAAATGACAAACAAATACAGTAGTGGCTGCTCAATAAGTGGTGCTAGAGCACCACTCAAAATATTACATTGAAGACTTAAAAAAAAATAATAATAATAAAATAAAAACATAGGCAGCACGGTGGCGCAACTGGTAGAGCTGCTGCCTCTCAGCGAGCAGGTCCTTGGTTCAAACCCCGGTCCAGGGGCCTTTCTGGGTGGAGTTTGCATGTTCTCTCCGTGCATGCGTGGGTTTTCTCCGGGTACTCCGGTTTCTTCCCACAGACCAAAAACATGCATGTTAGGCTGATTGGTAACTCTAAATTGTCCCTAGGTGTGTGTGAGAGAGTGAATGGTCGTTTTTCTCCATGTGGCCCTGTGATGGACTTGCGACCCGTCCAGGGTGTACCCCGCCCCTCGCACAGTGATTGCTGGACATGGGCACAGGCGACCCCCGTGACCCAAAATGGAACAAATGGGTAAAGATAATGGATGGATGGATGGATGGATTGATGGATGGATGTATATATTGTTTTTAGTTGTGTAATATAAATATTTTATAGTTAATGATGAGTTAAGTTTTTCTTTCAAAAACTTTGTCTCTGATTGATGATGTATTTCTGCCCTCGGGGCACAAGAATCTTAGCCCATAGACTCTAGTTAAAAGTTGTACATGCGCAGTTAGCTCCTCTTCATTACAAGAAATAGGAAGATTCTGGGCGCAGAACTCTAGCGCCCTGAGTACCGGTGCACTGTACGAATCATGTTTCCATTCCCGCTGTCCCGGTACATATTAATTAATTTATTTTATTTTCCTGGAACAGATCGTGCAGTGACACTCACAACCAGGCTATGTATGAAATATTATTTAGATGTCAGACAGCAGCAAATTTAAAAGAGTTGCAGCATTAATTTTGATCTGGCAGATAGTTGTGAGACCTGCTGCATTTGGCGCTGGGTTTGTTGATGCTGGCCGGGGTCCTGTGTAGAAAGGAGAGGACCACCACCTCAAGTGACGTGGACAATTTTAACGGCAGTCATCATTAATGTGTCTTATTTACCTATTTAGACAGGTAAGGAGTGAGTTAATAAAGTGTGCAGACGTGAGCGAACCAATGATTCATTCCTTTTTTTTCTTAGAGACACACTGCTCGCTCCCTCACTATCCATCCTTCGGTTACTGCCATCTGATTATCAAAAAAGGTACTACACACAAAATGAATTAACCAACTTAAATTTGACAATCATTACTAATTATTGTCAAATTTCAAACACTATTATTGTTTATCGCAATAATTTCTGAGACAATGCATTATGTGCAGGTGCACATCACAAATGGTGATAGCCACATTACTGTCATTTCAAAACTATGCATTTACCCTTTTTTAGCAAGGATTCAAGAAAAGAATTGCTCCTTTATAGTGAAGTTTTCACAGTTTTCTGTATCAGAAAGGGAACATTAAATAAATATCTTTATCTTGAATTCCCATCCCTCTAAATGGCCAAGGATCCCATTGCAAAGCTCTGTTATGTCTGTCACACCCTGCATGTCTTCTTTATACTGAAGCGATAGTATGGCTACACTTTATACCCAGAGGATGTGTGCAGGATCAGACTGAAAAATGAGACTTGATGGGTGTGATAAAAAACTTCAGTCATCTCTTCTCCTTTCCCCCCACTGTGCCCTACTTTCCGGGAAACTGATATCAATGCGGATGCTGTTGTTTGCAGTTCTGACAGGTGAAGAGAAAGATGGGATTTTTGTTCCCTACCCGGTATCATCAAACTTTTGAGCGCTATGACCTAACTGCGATGGTCAGATTTTCAAGATACTATCAGGCTTTCATTGTAGTGGTTGTTGGTGATGTAGGCCCTGGAATGCAAAGTGGGAAGATAAAACTTCAGAAAATGTTGACAAACCAACACAAATGAGCTAAATTACAAACAACAGAACTCAAAAACAAAAGGCACCACAAAACCTTGGCATTTATCGCCTTAATATATTATTATATATATATATATATAATAGTTGGGTGTAGTGTGTACATTTTGTGGTTGGTTTATCTTTAGTCCTTTAGTCAAGGGTTGTTGTGTAACCAGATGTTTAAACTGATTTCTGTAAGAGTAGTTCTGCAAATGAAAATATGATCCATTTTATTGAGTTTTGACAATCCTTAGACAAACAAGTCCTTGTCAAGTAAATCCATAGAGAAAAGAAACAAAACCCTTTACAATTATGCAGTTGATTTTTTTTTTCCCTGAGACGCTTCATAATAATTACCAGAACTGTGATTGCACTATCGTTTCTTGTTTTCGTTGGCCAGATGTTAAATGACCAATTAAAACCACATTTCTAGATAATTGTTATACAATTAGATTTTAGTTTATTGTAATACTGATCAGATTGTGTCGATCTGTCGAAGCATCAACGGCATACTGACTGCTTGACTTACATCGCAGGTCGAAAAAAACAATACGGGCAGTGTTAAAGTAAATTAAGCTTTAGTTTCGAGTTACTAATTACTTTATTTGTGTGAAAACAGGTCATGAATGCTTCCTAACTTCATTTGCTGTGGAAAAACTGCAGCCCTTTAGTGTTTCTTACTTTAAGGAGTATGTACTTATATTAAAAAACAAACCATAA